AAAAAAAAAAACTTCCAGAAAATGAAGCCACAAAATCTATTTTTTCTTTTTATATCTTTTATCGTTTCATGACCATACTGTGAAGTCATAAGATTTTGCGACCTCCCCTGGAGATTATAGGACTGTTCAGTTAAATCTAAATATTCTGAAATACAGCATAATTTGCATAGTTATTATTTATTAAAATATACTAATCTGGTAAATTCATAACTATCTCTACATTTAATATACTTAACAATAGACATCCGTTTTAATCAGTTTTCTTCTAACCCACAACAAATAGTGTGTTACTCATAGATGGCACTCATTCTCTATTCTCTATAGGGCTGATATGAATGAATGTTTGAATTTATGTTGAACCTGTGTTATAGATAGTCAATTCTGGAGTTCAGTTTTCTTATACATTTAAAGATAGAACTCTCTGTGAAATTTAAAAAGTTACAACATAATATAGCTCTACATAGAAAATGACCTTAAATATTAATTAAACCAGAATTTAATATGGCATAAAGAAACATTTTTATATATTAGTAAAATGTTTCTAAATACAGCATTTAGTAAAGCAATTTACTGATATTTTGTTTATTCCATGATAAACAGAAACAATTCATTTCCATTTGGATAATTAAGATGACCAAAGAAAAGAATTGTCTCTAGCATCATCTGTTTATTTTATAATTATATAAAACATAGTCTAGAGATTTATATAATCTTTTGGTATCTTTATCTAATAGCATTAGTTGTGCTAACATTGAAAACAGAAACATTTTCTTGTTGAAACCTGATAATGAATCAAAATTTAGAGCATCTGTCTCTTTAAAAAATTCTCAAGGTTAATATCAGAAAAACAGCAAAGCAGTAAAGCATAAAAGAATTATTAGGAGTCTAATAAAATTATTTGGACCTCTAACTATAGCAACACTGATTAATGATGGCTTTTTAATTAATTGGAAGTTGTTCAATCATTGTGCCATTTCATTTTACCTAAGAGATTTTATGAAAGGGTCAGGGCCAAAACATATGCTAGTTCAATCTGCAATAAAGTCTATTTACACATTTTTGTTCTTCTTGGTGGGGCAAGTGTGGGCAATTTATTTCTCATTCATTCACTATGATGGTATCCCTACTTGGCTGGCTAGCTTGATCAATTAAGATAGTCTTAGGCATTAGAATGTGAGTAAAGCTTACTTTTAAACTGTGCATTCAAACAACATACACACAGAAAAAAAAAAAAGAAAATTAGCTATACTTCTTATTACAAATTACATATATATATAAAATATACATAATCTTTAATCACCACATGACATGTGTTAAGCTTTTTAATTTTCCAAATAAATATATAGTCTTTGTCTCTTCAGACTTCCTTTTTAGAGCTATAAAATCCACACAATGGTCTTTGAATAGTATTGGAATGGACTGGAGGTCCATTAGTTGGACATCCTGCTTAGATCATATACTTGCATGGATTATGTGTGGCGTTCCAGTTCCACCTATGTCCCAGTGAAACCCAGCACAACTTAAAGTATGTACACTAAATGGCACTTAAGTAAAAAAAAAAAAAATTATAAAGAGATGGCCAATATTTAGAGAATATTTTATAAGTAAAGGTCTATTTAGCTACAATTTCCCATTTTCCCAATGTATAATAATTCTGAGGGCACCCTATATACCCAGCAGCTTGGAGCCAGCATGTGCACTAATCATGTTGGTAACTAAATCAGGGCTCCCCAAGTTTAAGATCTCTATTGCTTTCAAGGATCAATGACACATATTTCCACTGTGAGTTTGAGACTTCCTTCCATTTTGTAAATGGTCAAAACACAAGGCTCTGAAAGCAGACAGCAGACCTGGTTCATATGAGCAACATCATTCCATAATGTTGATTCTGAGGGCCCAGGGAGCCACTGGGGAGAAAAGGAACTTCCACAGCTACAGTACAAGCAACTAATAAACTATTACTTAATTCATCAGGAGGTAGGGTGTGGGAGTCTACTATACCTCCTCCAACCAAAAAGATATGCACGTGTTTTGTGTGTGGATTAATAGGAAGGTTTAGGTTAGGTTAGAAAGTTTTCTACTGAGTAACCTCTTGGTTACATGATGGACAACATGTCTATGGTAGGAAGTTACTGAAGGGACTCCCTCTGTTCAGTTGTCACTTGTTACGTCCAGGCCATTGGAGTGAACATAACATGATTCACAAAGATCTTACAGTCCATAACTCACACATTTTATTTTCACCATATTTCTTAGAGAGCTTAGAAAACTAGAGTTTTTCTTTCTAAATTATAACATTTAGAAAAGGTAAATAGGTAAGCTGTCCCCCAAATTATGTGTGAGTAAAATAAGTGACAGCATGACAGGAATGAGGACTAACCTATGTAACCATACTAGGATACAGCACGGGAGGGGAGGTGGATGCCAGGTGTGAAGGGAGACTTCAGGAAAATGGCTCAAAAAAAAAAAAAATGAGGGTGAAGATTTCTCCAGAAATGGGAGGCTGGCATTCTGTTCCCCTTGCAGTATGTCTGCTTGGGCAGCTCACTTAATGATCTTGTCTACAAGCCTAACTGAGTAAGAAGAGAGGATTTTAAAGGAGATGGCAAGGTAGGAAACACTCAGTAGAGAAGCAGCGGGTTATGCACCTGTTTAACTTGGCAAAGATGTGTGAATTTCCTCAGGGTCAAGTCGACACACATAAAGGAGCTGAAATTGAGAAATCACGGTATTGACTGCATCCACAGGCTGCCTGTTTTGCAGGGGTTCCCTGGAACTAGAAAGCTGCATGGTCTACCACTTTGTCCCATACTGGATTCTTATGGAGATGGGATGACCAGAGCCCCAACAGCAAAGAATTCAACAAAATTGTATGAGAAGAGAGTTAATGTTTGGACAACTGCCTTTACTGCTAGTTCATTTTAGCCCTCAAAGCAGTGGCAACTGATGATGTGCTACCCATGTGC